TGTGTGTGTGTGTGTGTGTGTGTGTGTGTGTATGTATATATATGTATGTATTATATATATAGTTAAAACTTAACTGCATATACTCATATTTACATATATAATATATAATGTGTGTATATATGTGTATATATATATATAACTTTTAACTTGGTTACTTGAGGGAATTTACCAAATTAGAGAATAAAGGAGATGGAACAAATTTGGGGAGAAATAATAAATTTGGGGTTTGGTTCACTGAGTATGAGGTACAGGTGCAGGTAAGGACTCTGTCTAGTAAGTAGTTTAAAACATGGGTTTAAGACTCAAGATACAGGTTGGGACCAGCAGTTAGCGAAATGGCTATGTTGCAGGACTCCCATGTAGTCGACTGTGGTTCGAGTCCCAGATCTAGTGACTTAAACTCACACCAGGTGCGTGTGCATGCATGCCCAAGATCCTGAGAGGAAAATGGAGAAGGGATTGCGGCGTGGCCATCCCCTCCGGAGGGTGATTTCTCACTTTTTATCTCTCTGTCCCTCTCTGTCTTTCTGGCAAGCGCACACGACCTATAGCAAAAACCTCTCCAAAAAAGATACAGGTTTGGTGTTGTATACTGTGTATTTATGTTCCTTCCACCCCAAAATTCATCTGTTGAAACCTAATCCCCAATGTATTAGGAAGAATCACCTCACCTCCTTTGGGAGGTGATAGTGCCCTTATAAAAAATGCCTCTGAGAACATCTTTGCCTTTTCTTCCATGCGAGAACACAGAAAAGACAGCCATCTGTGAATCAGAAACTGGGCCTTCGTCAGATGCAAAATCCACTGTCATCTCGATCTTGGACTTCCCAACCTCGAGAACTATGAGAAATACATGTCTGTTGTCTATCAGTCACCTGTTTGTGGTATTTGGTTATAGCAGACTGAACAGAGTAAGATATCGGGGATAGTTACCCAGTTGAGAGTCAGCCTTGAGTACATGTGCTAGTTGAAGCTATGTGGGTGTTTGAGATCAAGCAAGAAAAATGGTGAGCTGAAAACAGAGTAAGACATATGACCAAGCCCCGAACTAAGCAATCACTGAAGGAAGAACCTCATAGTGTGAATAACACTGAGAAGGGAGACCAGAAGTTGGTATAATGACTATGTCACTGGATTCCCTTGTAGTCGACCACAGTTCAAGTCCCAGACCCAGTGGCTTGAACTCACGCTGGGCATGTGTCTGTGCATACCCAAGATCCTGAGAGGAGAATGGAGGAGAAAGGATTTCGGGATGGCCATCCCCCCTGGGGGGTGATTTCTCACTTTCTGTCTCTCTGTCTCTCTCTGTCTTTCTGGCGAGTGCATGTGCCCTATAGCAAAAACCTCTCCAAAAAAATAAACAAACAAGCAAATATAACACTGAGAAGAAATTACTAGAGGCTGAAGGAGAACCAGCAGAAAGCAGTCACAGAAACCATGGGAAGAGACAATTTATTGAAAAAGGAAGCAAAATCTAGTTTAAAGCAGTATTTGAACTGCATCTTTGGAAGGTCTTAAAAAATAATTAAAACTCATGAAAATGATTAGAAGCTTAATAAACAGCCCCATGCTGTTTACTTATAAAGAAGATAAATCTAAATTGAAAAAACTGACTAGACTTGGAACCAGCAGATGGCACAATGGTTACATTGCTGAACTCCCATATAGTTGACTGCAGTTCGAGTCCTCGACCTGGCAGCTTAAAACTCACATTGAGCACATGTGTGTGCATGCCCAAAATCCTGAGAGGAAAATGGAAGAGAAGGGACTGTGGCATGGCCATCCCCCCTTAGGGATGTTTTCTCACTTTCTGTCTCTCTGTCTCTGTCTTTCTGGCGAGTACACATGCACTATAGCAAAAATCTCTCTAGTAAAAAAGTAAAGAAAAGATCATATGAATTGTCTGATAAAAGATAATGGGACTCTCCACTTATTGTCTTTTTTTTTTCTTTCAGAGACCTAGGGGCTATATCAGCCATAATCAGGGTGGTCATCCTTATTAGTACTCATTGGGTGTTATCTGTGACAGGACCTAAAACTAGTTGTGCATTCTGGGAAATAAGACTTTCTAACCAAAGAGTGGGAGGCAAGGGCACAAGGCAAGACCTCCCCGTGAAACCGTATTGTTCCTCTCCTCCCATTTCTAATTGAAAGTATTGGTACAGAAAGTAAGTAAGGGTGGGAAGAACCATCTGCTCTTCCTTCTTTCTGCAGTGACAAAGTAAGGGCACATAATGTTGGGCAAGTGTAGTTCACCCTGTTCTGGGCTCTTACTTTCTCAAACAGTCCACCAACATGTGAAGCTTTTTACCAGTGACTACGTGAGTCTCTCAGTTAGGGAGAATGTACTGGGAGGCCCAATGTGATCCTCGGGCCCCAGCCATAGTCTTGAAACAAGCTTCTAACAACAACAACAAACCAGTATTTTGAATTTACACATTACTGCATATGTTAATTGCTTCCAAATCCATATGCAGAAGACATGTGATTGGCATCTGAAGTAATTCAACATTTTGGCCACAGCGAATACCACAACATTAATTTTCCTGTTCTTCATTGGTTTACACATCAGAGATCCAGAAGACAGAAGTTTCAGAAAGTTATCTCTTTAGCAAAGTAGAAGTCAAAGCTCACTAAAGGGGCCAGCAGGTGGCACAATAGCTAAGGCACTAGACTCCCACATGGTCAATTGTAGTGCAAGTCCTGGACCTGGCAACATGGGCATCTCTCAAGCAGTTGGTTCATCTGTAGCTTCTTTCAGTATTTTAGCTACTGACTCAGGATCTTTGTTGCCAGTCTGCCTTTTAACGCTCAGCTTAACAAGGTCTGCAGGCCAGGACTTCATACTACAAAAGCCTTAGACTCTCATTCATTCATTTATTTTTTCATTCATTCAATAAATATTTATTGAACAGCTACTATGTGTCAGAGTCTCTTGTAGATTATGAGAATACAGCAGTAAATAAAACAGAAAAAACCCCTGCCCTCTTGTAGCTGACTGCTGGTTGGGGGTATTTGCAATTATGGTTTATATAGTATCTGCTCTTGGATGCCAAATAGCCATCTCAGACTTTGCAGTTTCAAAATAATTTTTGCCTTCCTTCAAAGCCCTTCCTACATGTCTGTCCTATCTTGGTAAGTGGATTGCCATTCATTCTGTTATTTAGGCAAAAAAAACACTTTGGAGTTTTTCTTGATTACTCTCATTCCCTCATACTATACATACACTCTATCCCTTCTCAAGTTTTACTCAATTTATCTCTCAAGTACATCCCAAATCTGCCTGCTTTTCAACCACCCTGGTCCATGCCAAAGCCCCTTTTCACTTTGGGCTATTTAACCACAATTGTGATAGCTTTCTTTGGGATGAATCTCCTTTGTGGGAAAGGGAGAAGAAAGGGAAG